TTGTTCTTCAGGGTATAGTTCGATGGAGCTTCTAGCGACAACTCCGATGAGGAATGAAGAGTCAAGTCTGGAGTAATACTGTGGCAACAGCATCTCCGCCCAGAAAGCTACTATAATGCCCACGTATTAGCTTCTGATTGCTGACAAGGGGAACTTCAGGACCTTGCCATCGGCCCTGATTCGATTATGCATATTCCGGCCACGTGTTATGCCAGTGATCGCGTTCAGGAGAGTCTCTGAGATCTACGCGAAAAATGCTGGCCCTCGTCTCAACTTTACCAAGTTCGTTACTTCTCAAACGACCAATGAATATCCAAATATGTGGGAAGGGAGTGGTCGTTAGAGGTCCGAATTCGTACGCCATTACTTCTGTCTTGAAGGTCACCTAGTGAAACAGTCGTAAAGCCTGAGGAGCTGATGTGCCTTTGAAATCAAACATGCAGACATGTTGCGCATTACATTACCACCAACGTTTGTTTGAATCAACTCGAGTGAAGTAAAATACACATTTTTCGTATTTTTGAATGAGTAACTCAGATACTGATGCATATATTCCAAAATTTATTCTTCTGAAATCATTCTGCATTACATCTTTATGCTATCCTTTGGTGCAGTAGCTTGCCTCCGTGTCTGAGGTGAGATAAAGTAAAAATCAGAAGCACGTGCTTGTGACCATGCTTGTGCCACCACCACAAACCACAAGATGACTTATTTTTGCCAAAGGGCGGGCATTGGTGCTCTTAAATGATTCCACGGATATGATCCTAGTTGTGTTCGTCTTTTTTACCAATGGATACACTTAAGTGGAGACCTTGTACAGCTTACTAATAAATAATTTCAGTAGCATTAACCAAGTAAAAATGCTTAGAAAAGCCTAATTCTCGCTTCCAACAGCGCAATAAACAAATCACGTGACGACATCATCATATGTACAAGTTAAATTGGCTTTTACTGGATCAAAAGTCCATCCCTTATAAACACGTCGTAATTGGTGTCAAAATGGTTGTCTAAATCAAAGGTCAAATGTGAAGACGATATAGTTGCATGCTAGATGCGTATTTGTCATCAACATCAGCAACAAATTCTATTCTTTCATCAGCATTGAGATTACGCCTGTAGCTTTTTAGTTAAAACGGCAGTAGTCTCGTGTTATCCTGACGTTTAAGCAGTTCCAGGTGGCGACAACGGAGGCTATGCAGTGCATTGTGGAGTTGGGTTTTGGCATAGCTCGAAGGCCAGCCCACGCAACCTAGAGCAAGTTGATTAAAAAAGTGACCAACAGTAGCACAGAAAGTTCAATAAACAATGAACTACAGCAGGTTTTGTTACTCTTTTAAGTGACCACTTGATTGAACAGTTTGCACAATGATGAGCCTTTACACCTGTCGATGACGATAATGAACTCGCTATGAGTCGGAGTTTGTGGTGATTAAAATGCAGTTAAATTTTGACTCACCAATATTACGACGTGACTTGCGTGATCCTTTGAGGCTTGTTGGTAGCAATTTAACAAAATTCTATGCTAGTTTGCGAAATCCCTTCAGCCTCTGCATCTCCGTACACCGTACTGCCTAGCTAGAGTTTCCTAAATACATTAACGCCTTGATGAAAATCTCTCCTATTCTACCAGTTAACTTTATTCACTCAAAGATGGTCGTGAAATATGTGGTATTTGAAAGAAGGCGGTTCCCACAAGGCAGTCTCTAAAATAGTCACTTTGACAATGTCACTTGAATCAATTTAATCGTTGATAGACGAGAGAATAGAACAAGACAGTGATGGAATCCGCAACAACGATTCATCGTACAAATGAATCTCGCATCCGAAGACCAGTGCTACCCCCAGAAGCCCAGTCACGTGGTGACACAACCCATTGTTGCTTCTATTGACTGCTCGACATCGAAAGCTGTTTGGCCTACTTTAAAAATAAAGGCTCAACTCATCACAGGTAAGCCTGATCAAGTGGATCACTAGCCGAAATACGTAGGAAACGATTTTCACGCCAACTTGTATCACATGCCACCATGTCGTAAATTACGCTTATTAAAAAGTTCTTAGCCATGTGCAAATGCTACACTCCAAGTTTAAAGCACTCGACAAATCCAGTCAATCTTACGAGCAAACACCCCAAAAGTAACAATAGCAAGGCGAAAAATCATGCAATATTCAAATAACAACAATATCCAGTGAAAGTTGGTACGTCAACAACAAAATGAAGGGAAAAATTCTGAGTGGGAGGTGAGAAAGTAAATTAGTTATCTTTACGTAGTTTATTAAACCGGGCAGAAAGCGCATCAAAGTCGTCATCGTCGTTTGCTGGCGGCGGTGGTAAATCACTTACTTTATCTTCCCCGTTATTCTGATCAGCACTTTCAGGCTTCTTACCAGTTGGACTGCTGGGATGGGAATAGGGTGGCGGTGACTCCGGACCAAGGAGATCTACAAAAAATCAACAAAATCAAAGCCCCATATTTATGGAATCGATTTTTAGCAATAACAAAGCCCCAAGTTAACTACTCCGCAAAGTACCGATATACTGAGCCTCAAATCAATAGTCCATAGCACTTGAAAAACACTGATGAAAGTATTTCAAAAAATGTGCAGTTCCGCTAGTGAGGTTGACATACAGCTACATAAGAGACAATTCATAAATAAACGAATCCACTTCTACTTTGCAAAATATATAGCTCAGAAGAGTCAACTAGTCGAAACCGTACCATTCAGTTTGGAGCTACTCTCGGGGGGAAGCGAGGGTAAGGCAGTGTTCGAATCATCCTTTGGCCCATAATTTGTGGGATAGGGAACACCACCGCCTGCAGCCGCGTTGTCAGGCTTCAGGGTATCGTGCAACATAAAATCGTAAGAAGGAAGCTCGGGTGGATCACCCAAATCGATCAACTGTGAGTTGCTGAGTATGTTCATATCAGGTGTAAACTCAACATCATAACTTCGCGCGATCTCAACCTAAGAAACTAATCAGTTCAAAACTATTAATCATACCAAATAGGCCTCACAGAGGTTAGCTGGAGGTGCTTTGACGTTGAGCTTGTACATGACTTTGGGGTTGACGCAATGATTTGAATTGGTTGAGCAAAGTTGGGCGAATTCACGGCCATACTTAATCGAAAACTGGGTTTTGAGAACTTCAAGCTCTTGACAGTCATACGACAAACGTGGGGCCACCCATATAATTGTGGCTATAGCTTCTTTGAGGCCTGGATCACATTCTCTGTCGTTATATTTAATTAATTTGATATGGTAAACACTTACACTGTGGAAGTAATAAGGCCAAGACGTGTTATGAGCAGCTCACAGTAGAGCTCGATTATTTCCAAAACTTCCAACAGGTAGTCTTCACGGACGATCTGTTCAACTCGAATACGTGCTCGGTCAATTTTCTTTGCCTTCAGGTACTCGGCAAGTTCTCTTCGAGCACGAATGTTCAGTTCGTTTTTCTTCTGGTACAAATTCTTAAGTCGAACAGAACAAATCCGCAGATTCGTTTTCAGTTTGTTAGGATCAAACTTCGGTGCAAACATCCTCAAAGCGAAGGAAGCTCGAACAAGAGGTCAACCAAGAAGCGCTGGTCATTCTTGACTCAATCAAACAAGCTCGCGTTGTTTTATCGATTATCTTATTACTAAGGCGTATTTACGGCTTCGCATCTATCAATACATTAAATCACACATATTTGAATTGTTGAATAATTTTTTAAGGCCAAATAAATAATTGTATTTTATTGTGCTATTTTGCCAGCACTAATTAGGCATGCCTATGACGAAACGCTTATTTATAGCAATAGGTTATTTTGTATTGATTAATACTAATATGTTAAGTAAAGCATTTAGTGTTCCAAGACTCGCCATCGTGTGGAAGAAGGCAGTAAGTGAGGCTGGATGCATCTATTTCGAAGAGAACGGAGCAAATGGGCCTGAGCATGGCCCAAAGGCCAGCTTACGAGTGCAAGGACCAGACGAAACGTAAAGTGGTCACCAAATGTCAGACAGTCACATAAACAAAGCATCACAAGGCAAACTGTGCTCTCAACTGGGTTGTCTCCATTTCGCTCAAGTTGTTCCATCGTAACCTGGCTTTTAAACCCTTAGGTTATTAATTGTGACGTATAACTGACCCAGTAATCCAAGATGATTCTACTGTGATACATATTAATATGCCTGAAATGCCCTTACACGTCAGAGGCTGTTATCCAATTCAAATCCCGTGTTGAAGGAACGTAAGGATCCTTTCACTGGATGGCACTGGACATTCGCCTTAGCGATCCCTAAACTCCTTGTCCTCTGTAATATCTGTCCAATAAAGCGTCTCAAAACAATCCACTGCTTATGCGGACAGATGTTCAGAAGCCTGAGAGCAGGGTGGGAGGCACTGCACCTATTTGTAGGCGGTTCATGGGTAAAATTGTGTTCGGAGTTAATTCCGCCATCATTCAAATTCACATTCTCCTAGTAGAATGCCAATCGCTATCATAAAGAAGGCTTGAAAGGCCTTTAACACAACCCCGATAGGCACACTAGTAGGCGGAAGTGCAACCCGCAAATATCCAAAAATTTTCTCGTTAATTTGCAGAGCTAAACAGGTGGCGGAGAGATTGCAGTGATAAATTAAGCAATTTGCATAAACATTTACCACTTAAAATTTTATGTTGATGAATGCTTAATAGCATTTTGGATTCGACTTTTCTAACCTGCGCCTGTTAACAGATTTTGGTAAGATAGACGGGTAATCGGTAAAGCTACCTAAACCTGGTTCCTATTCGAATTAATCATTCTCAGTTAGGCGGCCTGAGAGAATCTTTAGCGCGGTAAGTCTGTCAATAGCTCTTAATCATTTCTGCGCATCGTCCCTTAACGCCCATTACTGCAATCAGCTTTGAAATCGGAGTCAGTAAAACGTGACTCACCGACTCGTCGCTGTCTCACGGATGCTCATGTAAACCAGTTCTCCTTCTCCTGCCCCTGCAATTAATTCCCTAGGCCTTACATAAGTCGACATTACGTTTCCTCCCAACTTTGTGTGTTTGAGTGCGCGCTATGAAGAGAATTTCGCATCAAAACAGCAAAACGTGTAATACTCATCAATTTGAGTGGTTACTTACTGTAAGGTTCCGGTCGATTTGGCGAGGACTCAATCACAAAGGAACCAAATTTGTGCACATATACGCATATTTTGACCACGAGACACATCGCCGCCGAGCGCAAATCCAGGCTATGAAGTTAACCACCCACATAGTCTAATCCTCGGTTCAACAACCTACTGAAGCGAGGCGAGGCGGGCTCGACAGCTTAAGCTAGCTTTATAGTCACTGTTTACTACCACACAATGGTCTGCATCTGATTTTCCTACAGATATAATGTGAACAAAAATAAACATTATTAGTGGAGGATAAAATCCAGGAATCTTTCATTCACTGAATTACATGGCAGCTAGGTGTCCGATTATCCCAAAGTGAGACTTGCAGGTACAAGACAACAGGTGCAGTGAAAATGAATTAAGTTAGTCACTGAGTTCATGGAATGTCGGTGGGTTTTCCATCCTGCCTACTGCTTGTAGTCACCTTCCACCTCCTCCAAGGTCAACAGAAAGCACTCAAATGAGGCTTTTCCTTAACCAACAGCTTGTCTCGATGTCTGACAACTGGCCAGACGATTCTTGTCGGAATAGGTATTGAATTCAAATGGCTTTAACCTACTAGGTGAACGATGTCCTGATTAATGGCGTCTAGGGCAATCAACAGCTAAGGTGCCGTCAAGTAGGGTGTAGCAGGATACATTTACATGCCAAAACGTAGGGTGTAACAGGAGACATTTATCATTTACCTCGGGGTGTAGTGCCACCTCAGTTACGATGCGTTCGCAGATGGAGTGTGTGTAAATAAATTTTACGTCCTAATTTGATCACTTCCTTCGTATTTTCCGAATTTTTTCTTCCTTTCATGCAAGTCGTGACAGTGGTTTTGAAAAGTATAGCATCCTGTTCCACGTAATTACCTGACTCCTTAGGTTCGATGACACGGCAAATCATAGCGTTTGAAATCATGTAATGTCGAAGGTCTCCACTTAACACAGCGTCTTCGCTTAACCTAAACAGAGCTCGATCTACCGAAAAAAACGGCACGAAATGTCAGAATTGTCGCCATCTTCCCACGCCTCATCTCCACATTCACACCACGCCGAGAGTGAGTGAAGGAGGTATTCCTTAAACTAGTTTCCAGACCATTGTAGTGAATAACCCAAAAAGATGAAGACATTAATTAGTCTAAATCTCATTTTCTGCGTTACTTTAGTCACATAGAGTTTGTCAATTACTGCAAGATGCATTTTTATAGGCTCTGCAAAAGTTTTCGTAGCTCGGGCTTCCCTTTAGCAATTTGCTTAAGGATGAAATGTGGCACTCTCGAAATTGTTTAGGGACAAGTGAAGAGGAATTATTTGAACGAAATATGTGCTTCTAGCAGACTCGAAGACCAGACACTCACTTGGAGGTGCAATATTGTACCTCCTTGGTGACCTCCTTGTCAAAACCGGCAGTTAAACCACCAAAGTTAAGTGGTCATCCTTATAAGTAGGAGAAGCTGAAAATGTTCTGGTTTAAAGCTGTTAGTGAATGCTAGCTAGTTGAAAAATATGAATTGCCCAAAACTTTTCTAAATTAAAGCAGCCTACTAATTAGTTGGACTTCCTATATAAGTAGTAGAACATTTCTAAAGTTCGATTTACAAACCCTAACAGATCCATTGCTATTTTGCATTCCTTAGGACGTCTCTCTCCAAACGTACTGGGCCAATACGATTGTGGTATGATGTTCTGCGTGATTTATGGACAAATGTACGATAATTTGTGTGGTGCCTGCCGACTTCAGGGTCTTAGCCTCTTCACCGAAATTGAAAGTTAAGGTGACAGTCACCCTCCTTCTCCAGGAGAATTCGGCCATGCCACATAAGTCATCGCATTGCAGTTCGAGGTTACAATGAAAACACTCTAGCGTATAGCGTCACCGATTCTGCTTGGAGAACCGCCCTGTTTGAGAAATGCAATGTGCGAGAGGGAAATGTCGACCTATTTTGGGAACACGAATGGAATAGCAGCCACAGAGTGGAGGATGGGATTCTACCTACTCAGGTGGATCGTGAATGGAGTCACGAGTGTTCACAGGTTTTATATCCCCATGCAACACTGACAAATTTTTAAAATCGTCTATGGCTAGTGTCACTTTCCTTTTCAACAGTTTCACCGTGGACCACAGGATTGGAACAGTCGCCAATTGTCGACGCTATTTCCCTATATTCCGCGCACAATCAGTGGACTGTCACAAATTATGCATTCTGGAGTAACAGAAGACAAATAAATCAGAGAGAATGTAGGCATTCGACATGCGAAATGGCCAACTGGACGCCCTTTAACTACAACAAAGGGTAATTTGGGAGTGCCTCGGTGATCCCATTCCCGAGGCATTGCAGCTTTCCCAAGATTACATCAAACATTCGCAAATTGAAAAACGTTGCTTTCCGGTCCACTTCCTGGATCGCACTTAAAATCCTTTTACTCAGGGCTTGGTAATACATCAATGCCAAATTCTGCCACATCCCGTAGCTTCTAAAGATTTTTCTGTCCCATTTCGTCATTTAGAGAAGCCTAGCACCGTGCCTGTTATTAATTTCAATAAAGAAGTGTTATTTTGATTTTAGAGAATAAAAGTCAGCATCAGAGCGGCGAAAAGCCCACGCGTTGGAGGCCCGAGATTAGCAAACTGGAGACTGAATTGCACACCTCCTGACCCCGGTCGCCGTCTTGCTGACGTTAGACGGCTTGGCATGATTTCTTCAAGGTCATACAGGCGACTGACATCTCCATGGCAGCATGAATTGCATGTGTATCCTGTCTACCCAGGTTTGGCACACAGGGAATGCAATTTGTAGTGCGAAAATTTTGCAATCTTCAATTTCCACAGTCACTCCTTACATGTATTCCGTTGGGGCGAGTGTCCTCTGGGGGAAAGGCGACATTTCCGACCATATTTTATGAACGAAGTGCTCATCACCCCCCTCTAATTTTTTCATGAACCTCGGCTTTGTGTGTTTGGGTCTTTTACAAGCCTCGAGAACAGGGACAAGAGAACCCAATAAGCGTAAATCAACGCAAAGCTAAAAATGCCTTGATAATACAAAATACCAGGACTGGAGGGGGCGCTGATGCATTCCAAAAATTCGAGCCTCCAACAGCCGTAAAAGGCGCAAGTCTTAACGGTTTGTTGCTAAACTTGCATCGCATCGTATGTCTTAAATTAACATTTAATCACCGTCTTCGACAGTCTATCCCAATGAAAGACACTCAACAGCTACAGAAATCACCTGCAGTTGAGGAGACCATTGAAAGATGCA